CTGACTAGTGTAGGGTTATATGCACATGGTCAACTACGTGTGTGGTGAAAATAACCGTTGATTTTCTACACATTTCTAACCCAAATCGTGAGTGTGAATTTTCATAATGCAGTGAGTGAACTTACGAGCTCAGTGAGGGAAACCAAACATATATTCCAACACAGATAGTTACGTTCGAGGTGGGAGGAATATATGTTCGCTTTCCTCAGCTGAGCTCGGGAGTTTCCAAAGCTACATTATAGAATTCGGGTAGAAGTGTATAGAAACCAATGGAAATTCTCCGAAATTTTCCCAGAATTTCCATATTGTCACCAATATGTGAAGTTGATATTTTCCCTAACAATTTTCACTAGCAATTTTTCCGAAGTTTTTCACTACGTTTCTCATCCCACAATTTACACACGACTTGACATAGTAGAGGAAATATACGAAAACCAACGATGATTTCCCAAAAAATTTTCAGAATTTCCCAAAATGTGCATATTTCCCACCTGCGAATTTCTCTTGCTCCCTATAGCTCTGCGTGGTGACTCTCCAGACTGCCTACGCCGTCGAATCTGGCAGAAAAAAAATTTGTTTCCCAGCCCTCGAAAATTTCTCGATTTACCCCAGGTATCTTCGATGTGGCCTTAATCCGTGCCTCGTTGAGTTTATGCAATAACGTATTTGGGAAGGACCGAGTGCTGCTACTACCACTGAGATTGCTCAGCGCTGGTGACACAGCACTAGGTAGGATTGGTGACCCTTGTTTCTCCAGCTGCATTCACTCGACTATCAGTACCCGGTGCAGTCACTTATAGTAGTTGAGTAAAAATGAAACCTTCAGGAACAGTTTTTTTGGAAATAGAATTATACACGTTTGACATGGTAGACTATACGAGGCACAAATAAAACGTTCATCAACAGCCTTAACCAGTCAAACAAATAAAACAAGTTGTTCATCGCTCAACCCACTACGCGTCCTCGCGTTGAGGAAATGCAAGTAAAACCAAGTGCGCAAGATTTATGAATATCTGGGCGCGCGCTTTTTACAATGCGCTCGGATGAATGAGATTTTGTTGCGCTTGAGAACTTTCTGTTAACAGTTGTCGTGATGAGACGATTTAACTCCGACAGATCGTCAGCTTCGAAACTACCGCTCCCCTCGGACGATCGAAAACCCAAAGTGAATCGATCGAGAAACACCTCGTTGAAAGAATTGAATCGCAAGGACCTTCCTCGGGAGGAGGTGAGAAATTTTATGCAACTAACACGACCACAATTAAAAACGTATGCAGGACTTAACACAAGGCATTGAATCGAGTTGGATGAGAAAAGCGCTTGCAAGGGGACGACGATTTGGTAAGAAATTCTCTTGAGAAAAAACATTTTCCGATGCTGAGTTTCAACAGATGCCTTTGGAAATTCACCTATACGGTCCCACAGAGAAAATGAGAAGCGAAAAACGACTAAGTGGAAACCAGGGCTCCGACGACTAGGAGACGATTCACTCGAAGTAGCCGCATCAGGGACCGCTCTAACTTATAACGTTCCATAGGGTTTGATATTTTTGAGTGGAAACTAAATTATACACGTTTAACATGGTAGATCGTACGAGCCATACGTGAAACGTTTATCAACTCTATCACAGGGTTTGTTAATACTGGAGGAATATGTTACTAATGTGATGAGATTCACAGATGGATACCTCTGGCCATGTCGAAAATTCAAAATGAGTTCCCCCCCGCGCAGTTTGAAGAATTTCCTATTGTGATTGATTTCAGGCGTGCTTGTCTAGTCGCGGCTTGCTTGACGCTGCTGCCTTCGAGACGGCTTTTGGGTTACCATTGGAGGTTTTTGATGACACTTCATATTGGACGAGAACACCACGTGAATGGAATGTGAGAGAAAATCTTCCGCGTGCGTTAAGATATGCCCGACCTCAGGAGTTTATATGTAAACTCGGGAATCTTCCTCTACCTGGAAAATATCTTTTATTCGAGCAAGAGGGCCAAGCTGGAGTTTTACGAGAATGTTATGTTCATTCGTAAGCCCGTCTTCGTAAGTGACTTCCTAAGAGGCTTCTCATGGCAGATTCGATGAGCTCACTGGAAGGGCAATAGTAACTTTAAAGGAAGCGACCACCCCTCGAGCTGTGCCAGCGTTACTCCTTCACATCGATGGCGATAACCCCTCCCTCTTTAGTGATCGATTAAAGGCGGCTCTCACCCGACGAAGGTGTTCTTGGTTTTCTATTATGACGGTTAGTTGACTTTGCCGTAGATATGTCGAGTCGCGGTTGCAATTCGAAAGGTGTGTGGTGAGCGTCCCGACAAGCGATGAGTTTCCCGAGGTGAGATGCGGTCTGCTCACTCCATAGCAGTGTGGGAACACATGCACATGGTCGGCCACATATGTTGGTGACAATATGAGAATTCTGAGGAAATTTGGCTAAATTCTTCTTGCTTTCTGTAAACTTCTACCCTAGTTCGTATATGAACTCCTATAGTTAGTGAGGACACACCTAAGCTCAGCTGAGGAAAGCGAACATATATTACAACACTGGAGTCCAGTGAAACCGACCCCTCCCCTCACCAGCATGCGCCTCGGTGATTGCTCCATCACTATATCCTTTGCTATATCCTCCACGAATACCTAAGCCATAATAACCAACTATATTATAATAATGTTTTATACAAAGTGCGAATATCGTTTTCCACCAAGTTTTAGAACATGTACTTTTGTGTGAAACGGCGTAATATTCGCGTATGCCTTCACTAGTGTTTTCATATCACTACTAGGGTGAAGAAACTCCAATGCATCCTCAAAGACTGAGTTTATCAACCATTAAAAGCAGCATGTCTAGCATGCCTTGATCACACGCATGTTATCACAATACCCTCCACACGGAATGTGAGCGTGTTCGGATATTCAAATATTTTCGAAATATCCAATTTTACAAATTTCGAAATATTTTCCGTATTGTATCGAAATATTTTCCGAGTATTTTCCAAAAAATGCGATACTATCAATTGTTTTCACTTAAATTCACCTGCCAACTGAGTGCCTCCATCGGGGCGTTCGCATCACTCAAACACGCATTCTTCATACGCAGAGTATCCAGCCGTATCAGCGCCAATCGAACATCGCAGTTACTCTCCTCAACTAAATAGAAAAAATAACATAATTCACTAATAGTATGAAATTGGACTTTCACCCTAGTGATGTGAAAAACATATTTCAGGACTACTGTGTAGCGCAAATATCGCGTTTTACGCTACTTCGCGTAAAACGGGTTGTGAAACTCCACTATTAATAACCGCGATAACAACATTTCCCGCGAAGTGAAAAAAGCGATATTCGCGGTTATATACAGTAGTCGTGAAATATGTCTTCACCACTGCTTTTCATATCACTAGGGTCAAGAAACTCCATTTCTCATTGAGCGGATATCGAGAGAATATTAAAAAAGTGAAATTATATTCGTAGTAAACTCAGCACCAGTGTTGGAGAAATATACGTTTCCTCAGCGAGTTCGTTACATCTCCAAAACTACATTATGAAAATTTACACAAGAATTGGAGTAAGAGTCAATATATCTAGTTGACCATTTGCAATAGAGTTTCACACAGTATTACACCACTTCACGCGAAAAGAGTGAAACTCTAAAAATGATTCTCAGACTTCGACACGGAAGATCGGATCTCCAAGTGTTTGTAAAATTCCCGGCGACATTTTTTCACAACAGTTTCGTCCTGGAGTTGCACATTTTCGAGGGATACCGCACCATTTTCCGAATTGTCTTCAGCTCGGGAGTTCAACTGGTGTGATCCTCAGTGCTGGGAGAATACATGCACATAGTTTTGCGGAAATTTAGAAAAAAAATATCAATGATCGTCGCATGCTTCTACTCAAACTCGTGTGTGGATTTTCATAATAGTCATGAAACTTACGAGCTCAGTTGAGGAAAACAAACATATATTTTCACACTCTTATTCACAGAGAGAGAAAGAAATATCTACGAATGATCACGCACAGAAAATGCGGAAAATATATGCAGTTTCTCGCAATACGATCAACACTTCTCACCAATTCGTGTGCAAAGACCCGAGTTCAATCCGAGGTCATGCCGTTTTGATATCTCCATCATTTCCTGTTGCAACTGAAGAAATAGACTTCAGCAATTTCATGTTTTTTTCCGGAATTTTTACTAAATTGATTTTTTCGTAAATGAATATCTTTTTTTATGAAAATCTATAACTTTTCTGGGAAAAAAAATCCGTTTTTTTTATTTTCACCGACTTTTCATATTAATTTACTCAAAATTTCCATGTGTTGCTGATGACAATACGAAAGTTTTTCTTGTTTTCTGCACACCTTTACCCCACTCAGCGAACATGAACACTGCTCGAACAGCACATTTTTTCCGAAAAAAGGGCAAATTCTTCCGAAATATAAATTACTAAAAAATAACATCGCTCCGCTTACCTCTATCTGCGTTGGCCTCGGTACTCGTATACCCAAACATCTACTCCTCAACGGTGGGATTAACGGCGCCAGAGCTTCTGCATGGAAAATAAAACGAATCTTCGAAACGTATCTGATGCCTCTAGTAAACCTAGAACTCGGTTCGCCTTTCAATGGAGTTTCTTCACCCTAGTGATATGAAAAAACATATTTCACGACTACTGCATATCACCGCGAATATCGCGTTCTACGCCACTTTACGTAAAACAGTAAAAATACTATGATCAAGGAGAAGCCCTCGAGCAGCATTTTTTCAGCGATTTTCCTAAGATTTCCCTTCAGTTCGTCAGCGTTCTCTCCAAAGACTGTACCACTGTTTGTAAATACCAATGTTAATAATAATCTTCATAAACTTCCGTCCTACGTCGTGTGGGAATTCTCGTAAAAATATACACTTGATTAACTACCTACTGATTCTCTTTCAAGTCGTATGTGAATTTTCATATCAATATTCACACAGCCAACCACGCGGAGTTAAAATTAGCTTTTTGTTCACTTCATAATGTGACCCGAAAAATCAATTTTTTCCTCCGACAAATCAATTTCTTTGATTGGCTAAGGCTGTTGATGGCCAACGTGCACTATTATGCAGCTCGACCAGAGGTAAATAATCCTCAGGGAAAAGATAAAGATGCAAAACGAATACAGCTAGGAAGGTCTGTGACGGGGACAAAACTTTGTGTTTTCTTGTGTGATATTGCAAACCTTTCACTCGTATAATCTACCAAACGTGTATAATTCCAAAAAAAAATCCTCAAATATAAAATTTTGGAAAAGAAATTTTATATTCCAGGAATATAAAATTCCTGGAAACAAAATTTTTGTTTCCACAAAAAAAATCCTCCCAAAAATTATTCCCTCACTTTTCCATCGTTCTCCTCAATGCCGCCTGTGCTTGCCTTGTAAGGCAATGCGCATCATTAATAACAACCACGTGATAAGGCACTTCTCCGACTGGTGGGTTCTCAGCCATTTGTTTTATCAACTAACCACCGAAAGGTCCCCGGATCCATCCCGGCACCTCCCATTTTTACTTGCTGAATAACTGCGGCATCCCTAATTCCAACATCACTGGGAGTCACTTCTACGTGGAAAGCACTGACGACTACCTGAACCAAAATAATCGCCTCTACTCGAAAAATTTTCTGAATTTTCCCAAAATTTCAAGAAAATTTCCCGGAATTTTTTATCGAAATTTTGCTGATATGAAGTGGCGAATTACCCCGGAGAAAGCACCCCATTTGACGTAAAACACATACCACGTGTTTTACGCGTTATTCACTGCTCACATGCGTTTTTCACCAAATGAAATATCTGTTTTTCTGAAATCGAATTTTCCCAATTTTTCCCGCAAAAAAACCCGGAAAAAAAGTCCAATACCCAAATTCCAAATAATTACATCACCGTTCACCCCCGACATAAACTCACTTGAATATCAACTGTTGTACTCTTAGTCGGCTTAAATTGACGAAAACTTGTACTGGTCTGAAAAAAAATTTTCCTGAAATTTTTCTCATTGGAGTTTCACCCGTGATGTGAAAAACACTAGTGAAAAACACATTTCACATTTCACTTCGCGAATATCACGTTTTTGACGTATTACGCCACTTCGCGTAAAACGGGTGAAACTCCATTGTTGAGAAATACCTATGTTTGCTTTCCTCACCTGAGCTCAGGAGTTTCCAAAACTACATCATTAAAATTTATACACGATTTTCAGGGGAAACCTACGAGAATTTTCTCATCACAATCAGTAGCGCATTTCATAAATTTGATTTTCACCCTAGTGATATGAAAAAAAATTCGCGACTACAGCATATCACCGAAAAAATACCTTCACCTGAAAAACTTCCAAAAATATTTTTTGAAAATAACAAAAAAACCCAAAAAACTCACTTTCTCTACTCCTGGTCCAAACATTGCCTCCAACAAACATCGGATCCTGCAACCAACATAAATCGATCATCAGGGCGCGCGCTTTTCATCACAGATGCAAAAATTAACAAAAGCAACTATCGTTTGACACACAGCGTTCTTGAAGACTTTTAAAAATAAATTGCCGATGCAATACTTTGACTCTCATCTTGGTGATCTCAAGTATGAAAAAACCACTAGTGAAAAAAATTTTCCACATTTCACTTTGCAAAAACAATTGCTTTCTCGGTCGCGGCAATATATACCTCTTATAATTTACAAGGAGTATTACACCACTTCACGTTAAACGGGTCATCGTGAAGCTCCAATAATATTATTTTATATGTATAAATAAAATCCAAAAATATTTAATAAATTTCCCCCTAGTGATATGAAAAATATATGTCATAGTTCACTTGGCGGGAAACAATTGTGTTATCGGCGGTCGCGTAAAAACATATACGTCTTATAATTTACATGCAGTATTACACCAATTCATGTTAAACTCTAGTGTGAACCAAACTCAAATAATATTCTCAACGACTTCAATTTTCGAGAGTGCGAAAATCAAGTGGAGTTTCACGACCCTTTTTGCGAGGAGTAGTGAAAACCGCGATGCTCGCGGTGATATGCAGTAGTCGTGAAATATATATTTTCACTAGTGTTTTTCATATCACTAGGGTCAAGAAACTCAACTATGAATTGATCGACACCATAATTCCGTAGTCTACATTACTAATTTAACAAAGCCATCTCGAAAATCTGAATATGCATGATAACAGTTTGGTTCACATAGTATCATAACGCTTCACCAGTGATATGAAAAACACAGCTCGAAAAAAATCGCCTTTTTTCACATTGAGTATTACGCCACTTCACGTCAAACGGATCGTGAAACTCCATCGTGAAAACTGCGCTTAAATATATAACAACGCACAGGGAAGATTCCAAAAATCTCACCGAGTGATTTTCCCACCACCACTAGGACCATAGAAAAGTAGATGGGGACAATCCTTGGAGGCAGCCTCGAAAAAAAAAGGAAAAAATTGGGAAAAAGTGACAAAAAAACCAAACCGGCAGATTTTTTTCTTACTTTTCTTCTTATTTTTTATCACGTATTTTGAATATTTCGGAAATTTTAATTTTCACGAATAAAAAAAATATGAAATTTTCATGGCGTATCAAGTGCAGTATGTGGAGGAAAAATATGTACATGATCAACTACATGTGTTGGTGATATTCTGAAAATTCTGAGGAAATTTTTAAAATTTTATGAAATTTTCGTGTCGAAATATATATTCGCTTTCCTCAACTGAGCTCAGGGGTTTCCTAAATGACTACATACCAATTCGGGTAGAAATGTACAAAAGCCAACATAAAAAAATTCCCAAAATTTCCTCAGAATTTTCATATTATCACCAACACATGTAATTTTTCCCTCACCAAAAAATCCAATTTTTTTCACTTGTGAATATTTACATTTCCAAAAAAAATAATTTCGACAAAAATTTATTTAACACCACCCCTCGTGTTACCAATTTCCTCAACGTTTTCGTCAACCCCGGATGAAACGTGAGCTCATCCAGTTTGTGAGGGCGCTCGCTGTCCACCAGAAATGACATTCAAGTGTAAACCAAATAATGGAGTTTCTGCACCCTAGTGATATGAAAAATATATTTCACCGAGTTTTACGCCACTTCACATAAAACGGATGAAACTCCAATATTTTCAACGACTCGAATTTGTGATATTTCAAAAGTGAACACAATAAAAATGTGAATCCTTCAACACCATCCTTTTAGGGGTTCTTCGGAGAAAGCCATCTCGAAGATAACATGCATAACACTTAGCTTCGCATATCTGGGGGACTAGAGTGTTCCGACTGAATCTGTAGGATGCATCTAAGTTGGTGACGTAGGAAAGGAAAAGCAACACAACCCAGGAAATTTTGAAAAGCAAAGCACCGATTGAGGCACTCAGTTGGCAGGTGAATTTAAGTGAAGACTATTGATAATATCACATTTTCTGGAAAATACTCGCAAAATATTTCGATACCCGAAGAATTCGATATGAAAAATTTCGATACAATACGGAAAATATTTCGATACCCGAGCAAAGTCTCAAATTACCGCGTTCCCATTAGCGTTATTACCGAGCAAAAATATGCACATGGTCAACTACGAGTCTTAAATTTTTCGAGGTGATTTTTTTACGTTTTTTTGGTAAATTTTGTATAGCCGAAGTCTACACGAAAATTCAGGGTGGAAATTCATATTGTTTTTTCTCTTAATCTTCAGAATCGTATACAAACTCAATTCTTTTTATGAAAACCAATCGTGGAAATGAGTATCTACTACTAGTGGTTGATATATGTTCGAGGTCTCCCTTTGGAGCAGCCGACGAAGCAGCAAGAGCCCTAGTAGAAGAGGTCTTCCCGGTGACTGGGTTACCACAGTCACCTCATTCAGTCTTCGATAATCAATCACCATTCTGTATTCACCTGGACTTTTACGTTTGCCGATCATCCAAGCCGGTGACGACCATGGACAATCAAACCAAGTTCCAACAGCTCTTCCACTTGCGTATTCATCTCCCTTGCAAGAAGGAGATTTTGCCGAAATGGTCGAGAAGCTATTGGTGGAGCATCTCCGGTATCTATTTTCATAGCTTCCAGATTACACCTACCAATTGACTTCTCGCAAACCGTCGGCTGCTTTCGTATCAGAGTTTCAAGTCTTACTCTATACCCCAGCGAGGGAGTCGCACACTCTCCTCAGGCACTCTTATCCAGGTCCCGGATCATAGGGAGCTCTGCAGTAGCTAAAGGCCCACGCTGGTCGAGGGGGGCTAGACATATTACTTAACACTTGAGCCAAAAATGAGCTAACTAAACGCAAGAGCTTACTTACTCACTACTTCACTTATTCACTAGTCAGGGGCATTGGTAATCACTGGTTTTCAAGTCGGAATCGGTCAGTCCCAAAATCAACTACTACTCTATTAGAAACCAAATCCCTTCTTCCAATCAATAGTAGCTCATCATAAGGCTCCTTCCAATCTCCCACATAGGCCGCTCCGCTATGTGACTCCTTCAAAGTGAGCAAAGTTACCAGAATTTCCAGCCGGAGACAATGTAGCATTAGTAGGCTCACACTCAACCCCGGCATCTTGTAAAGCAACCGCCAATTTGTTTCCAATGACTGACATTGCAGCGCCAGAGTCAATTTTAGCGGCCACAGGAATCCCATTCACACTTGCGTCTCCAACAGGTCCAGAAGTCTTCCTTTGGGTTTTCGCGAGGTTACCCTTTTCCATCTTAGAGCCCTCGCCTAATGAAAACCCTGCTTCTTTTCCCTTTTTGACTTCATGTTGGGTTGTCTTTGCCCCTGCAAACTTCTCTTTTTCCCTTCCCCTGCAAACTCTGATGCTGTCAAGGCATCTACACGGTAACGTTTATTATCGCCATCGCGAGTCGATCTACTCCTTTTCAAACCTCTATCCAACGCTTTCTGAACCTGACGTTGTTCGTACATGAGCTCTTGCGCAGTAGACAGCATCTTTGTTGATGACATCGATGGTCTCTTGAACAACTTGGCATGCATTTTATCTCTGACTCTTAGTGGAGTAAGTCCATCAATGAAAACCGGGCGGACCACTGCGTTGAGCATCTCCTCGTTGTAGTTAGGGTACAAGATCCTCCCCATGTTATACACATCTTCGTAGAACTCTCTCAAGTCCTTATCACCCATACACATGTGGTGAAATTGCACCGCCAACTGAGGTCCTCCCAACACCTGTTGAGTCGCCTCCAACACACAGGGTATCCATGTTTCCCACGACAACGCATCCTGTGCTCTCGAGTTCCTCCTCAGAACTCGTTCCACCGCCAAGGGTAAAAGATTTTCACACTGTTCTTTTGCCTGCACAAATCCAATACCTTGGGATTTAGCCCATGACTGAAGTCGATCAAGGTCTTCTGGAATTGTCTTCAAGTCTTCGAAACTTTTTCTCATCTGGAACGGCATGGAAGGAGTCACGAGTATTGTAGGGGCTGTGAATATAACGACTAAGGGTAGAAGTGTACAAAAACCGAAAAAAAATCCCCAAATTTCCTCATAATTTTCATATTGTCACCAACACATGTAGTTGACCATATGCATATCATCCCACCCAGAAACGTCACTAAATTCAACACTTATCACTGAAATCTATTATTATCAAAAGATGGTCTAAGAGATCTTCTTTACCTCAGTCTGTGTCGGCGAGCTGCCCAACACCTAGAATCACTAATCGATCACCTGGGCGCGCGCTTTCTACACCAACCTGCGCCAGACTTTCCTTAAACTTATTAATATTGTGATCCACTAGAAAGGTCCTGTCGAAATACTCTTCTTTGATTTGACATACCAACGCCAGGAATGTATCCACCTACCAAAAAATTTGCGGAAAAATTTCGCGATTTTTTTGGGGGAAAACTAATTTGCACGCATGTGCAAAATATAGTGACAACATGAAATACTGCCGTATACACGGTAATTGCGGAGCGAGCCAAGCGAGGGGAGCATACAACAGGCACTTTCGCGTTGTGCGTGCGTGCAGAATTATTCTGGTTTAACTACGGAGCGTGTGAGGCTACCAGATAGATCAAACGACTCCTCTATATGCGGAGGTGTTGGGAAAAATCGCAAAACTCGATTATGCGAACAGCTCGAAGAGATATGCACGAAAAGCTTCAATGATGGAGAAATGTCCTACCCGGGGATCGAACCGGGGACCTATGTAAAATTCGATTGATTGAGTCCATGGAAGTGAACTCAGTGAGCTCCGCCCCTTCGTCACGAAGGCCTAGTATAGTTTCTTGACCCGTGATTTCACCAACTAAAATATGTTTTTCACATACACTTTTATACCACTTCACAACCCATTCTTGTAGTTTCACCCTAGTAGTGATATGAAAAACACTATCGAAAAACATATTTCACGACTACTGCATATCACCGCGTTAAATATCGCCCAATTTTTCACCAATTCCCAATCCTTCATAAAACTGCTACCTCTTTCATATACAATATCAAACCGTTACTCAGGGAAATTGTACAGGAGCTCGCCGAATTGATGGCCAACGACGCAGGAGTCGCTCCTGAGAATATTTTACAATCTCGCTCGCCCCAAATCGATCAACCGCCGTTTCACCTTGCTGTATAACTGCAGCATCTCGCGTTCCTCTCCCCTCATCTGAAGAAAAAAGCAATTTTCCCACCAAAATCATAAATTTACGGAAAAAATTTCCACCTAAAAAAAGGAAAATTTCCCTGAAAACAATTTTCTCACTCAACTAATTCAAAATACTACGGAATTCTACAATATTTCCCACGTAGAAAACGAAAAATTATTTTTTCCCAGGGAAAAAATATTCCTGTAAATATCACGAAATTTTACAGTTTTTTCCACAGGAAAAATCATTTTTCCGGAAAAAATTACTACTTTTTCCCGCACCAATTCCATAAATACAACTAGTATCGATAATAACATCCAACATATCCGACATAAGCTCATAAGACAATACCGAATCGCCACCACCAAATCCCGAGTCGCTCGCCAAGTACACCTGATACAACGCACTGCGAAGATTTCCAGAAAAATAAAAAAAATGCCATTCCGCACGCACAGCGAAGATTTTCAGAAATATCAAAAAAAAGATACCATTCCGCACGCACAGCGAAGATTTTCAGAAATATGGAAAGATATCATTTCAACCAACACACGCGTACGCGCACAGCGGAGAATTATTGAATCGCCAACTCAATAAACTACATACATGTACGCAGAGCGAAGATTTTCAAACAGTATTAAAAGATACCATTCCGCACGCACAGCGAAGATTTTCAAACAGTATCAAAAAGATACCATCCGCACGCACTGCGAAGATTTTCAAACAGTATCAAAAAGATACCATCCGCACGCACTGCGAAGATTTTCAAACAGTATCAAAAAGATACCATCCGCACGCACTGCGAAGATTTCCCCATCCCAACCTCCCCATGATGATCATTACCTTGGAGACGATATCAAAAAGATACGCCCTCTCCATACGACAATTCGACACCAACGAATCCAACAATTGTTCAACGCACTGACCGTGTGGATGTACTACTGATAACTGCTGCAATAGTCTTGAGAAACAGTCGAAAACCTGGGAAAGAAAAAACAAGTCAAAATTCTGCAATTTCTACGGAAAAAATGAAGATATCTCGAAATTATCGAATTTTCACGTGAAAAAATGGCAAAAAATGGAAATTTTTTCGAAATTATCAAATTTTCACGTTAAAAAATGGCAAAAAAATAAATATAACTATTCATTATAGTTTCACCCGTGATATGAAAAACATATTTCACTTCACGTAAAACGGGTGAAACTCCCAAATATTTGAACGTAAAAAACTGTTGATGAATTTCTGTCAGGTTCGTCCATCGTTTTTGCTCTACTATTGTAATATTCAAACTAACAACCAGTGTAAGGGAAAATTTTCTGACAATTTTTCGGGGGAAAAATTCGCGCTTTTGGAGAATTCTCTGGAAAAATCTTTTTAATTCATCATTGGAGTTTCACCCGTTTTACGCGAAGTGGCGTAATACTCCACGTGAAAAACGTGATATTCGCGAGGTGAAGTGAATTGAAAACACTTCGCGAATTACACCGGACAAATCATCACATTTCACGTAAAACGCTTCCGGCATTTCGCGATAAACGCGAAAAACTCCGAGTAATCGGCGTTTTGCACCATTTATTTCACAAGGGAGATTGTGAATTTCGCGACAGGGACTGTGCCACTGCGTGGCAGAGCTCACTCCACAGTGACAGTGGCCACTGGTACGGCACCAATTAATCGGGCACCTGTCTTGTGACCGAGACTTCGGGGGGAGCCCCGCAAGTCTTCGGTCCACACCACCTAGTCGACTAGCCTTGAATAATTTCATGGATATGTATAGATATTCAGTTGGACTGGAGGATCACTGAAGCCAGAGTTGACCAGCTAGAAATTTGCATGCATATCGCGCCAAACGCGTAAAACGCGAAATGATTTCGCGTTTTGCATATCACATGAAAAACACCTCACATGTTTTACGCGAAATTCACTGTTCACATGCGTTTTTCGCGAAGTGAAATGTGAAATGTGTTTTTCACTAGTGTTTTTCACATCACGGGTGAAACTCCATTAATATTGCGCACAGGGAATAATAAAAATTATATTTTTCGATTCCGACGTCGGAGGAATATATGTAATCGCTTTCCTCAGCTGCTGAGCTTAGGAGTATATATACGAGTTCGGGTAGAACTTTCCAAAAAATTTTCCAAAAATTTTCACATCGTCACCAGTACATGTAGTTGACCATATTTTCCTCAACACCGCACTTCATATACCAAGATTTACTTTTTTCTACTCATATTTTACCAAATTTATTTTTCAACATTTTCACAATACACAGTAAACACCAGGGAAGAAAACTAATTCCAAAAGGCTCTTGTTAATTTCAATCACCATAATTTTCCCAAAAATCTTCGCTGTGCGCACTCCCACATATCTTACGGAGTGATCGTATATACTCGTGCAGTGCCAAGTAATACCAACACGACAACCATTTCTATAAAGATCCTCATCTGAAAAAATAATTTCGTGCCGCATTGACGTTTTTTTCGCCCACCTAAGGAAGCCTGCAATTCTTTCACATACGCGTCTGAGATGTCTTCCCCGTGCAGAGAATTCATACCATCACCTGAGAAAAAACAAAAAAGTACAAAAATTTTCCGGAAAAAAATTTTTACCACTATAAGAACCGTCAAATCTGTAATTGCTGTCGATTTTATGGTAAAATACCTGAAAAAAATTTCTCATGTAAAAAGCGCGCGCCCAAAAATTCCAACCTGAAAAACGATATTAGAATTCACCCTTATTGCGCGGCGAACCACACGACGTGCATACAGAATTGCTTGGTGCCAGTTATCCTCCAGAGAATCTGAAAAAAGATTCCGAAAAAATTTTTTTCGGAAAACATGCACATGATCAACTACATACGTTGGTGATGACAATATGAAAATTCTGAGAGGAAATTTTCTGGAAAATTCTACCCGAATTCGTGAGGAAAGCGATTACATATATTCCTACTCCAACATTGGAATCAAAAAAAATATTTTTTATTATTCCCTGTGCGCAATATCAATGATGAATAAAAAAGATTTTTTACCAAATATTTTCCGAACCAAGAATTTACCAGGAGTACCGCAAAAGCGCGAAATTTTTCGAATATTTTCTAAAAATTCTTCTCTTACCAACACCGAAAACGAAAGCCACTCAGTTACAAGAAAAAATACGAAATGTCAAAAATTTTTCCAGATTTTTTCCGAAAATTTCCGTAAAATTTCTTTCCAATAACAAAGACTATAGCCACAGTTTTGCTAAACCACAGTTCTGTCCTGCTCAGTTAAATCCTTCTCAGATTCCCTATGGAGCTCATTTGCCCATTTGAAAAAAATTTTACCCGAAAATTTCCGGAAATTTCCATAAAATTTCTTACCAATAACAAAGACTATAGCCACAGTTTTGGCGAACCACGTTCTGTCCTGCTCAGTAATATCGCTCTCAGACTCCCTATCGAGCTGATACGTAGACGGCACATCAACAATCTTCACGTGAACAAGGTGATTCGCAACATCTACCAAAAAATAAAAATTTTCCGGAAAAAAAATCACAAAAAAAACTTACGTCTGACTTCAGGCATAACAGTGGGCTCCAAATACGCCGTCTCGTGGGGAGAAGTTTTCCCAAACACGACGCGAATGATTGACGATTTTCCAGACCTCGGCAAACCACAAACCAGAATTTTCGGCACCTGTGATAGGCTCTGATTGATGGTGAAATTCGGGTAGAAATTTCCCTAAAATTCCCCAAAATTTGAAAAAAAAAAGAATTTTCGACACCTATTATAGAGTAAAAATCTTAGGCTCTGAATTGATGGTGAAATTCGGGTGGAAAATTTCAGAAAATTTCCCTAAAATTCCCCAAAATCTGGAAAGAACGTGAATTTTCGGTATCTATTTTACAATAAAAATACTAACTAAAATAGAAAAAATTCTGGTAAAAATCAGCGGATTCCTTTCCCAATAAAAACTGAACCCCATGCACATCTATGAAGTTATTTAAAATTCGGTTCAGATTTATCTCGCCAGAAATATATGCACATGGTCAACTACATGTGTTGGTGAAAATATGAAACCTCTCAAGAAATTTTTATTAGTTTCTGTACGCCTTTATTCAAATTTGGAGACTCCTATGTGAGCGATTTCGGGAATAAATATGTTGGATTTTCTCAGCTGAGCTCAGGAGTTTCCAAAGCCAACTGTAGGCAAATTCGAGTAGTAAAGGTATACAAAAAACAATAAAAATTTCCCAAAATTTCCCCAAAATTACTACATCATCCGAAAATACGCTCAACTCTGCATCGGCACCGATAGACATAGCCTGCTGGAAAATAACACTGAAATGTGATAACTCCCTTTAGAAGCGAATTTTTTTGCGGAAAAATTGGGGAAAATTTTACCATAAAATTGATTGCTAATGTTCTAAAGGCCAGGGCAGATCAACTGAGCAGCCACCAAAACGTATGTTGCTTTTTTGACACTAGTGAAAAATATATATTTCACAAACTACTGCATATCACCGCGTTTTACACCACTTCACGTAAAACGAGTCGTGAAACTCCAATGAATGTATTTCAGCAGGGGAGAGTAAAAAATATATAAACTCTAGTTGTTCACAGAAACGCCTTTGTGTATGCGTGCAAGTGTGCAAAGGTATACCTAATAAAGGGTTGAAATCACTTCCACGATAAATATTAAATCATTGGAGTTTCTTCATCCTAGTAGTGATATGAAAAAAAACTAGTGAAAAACATATTTCACGACTACTACGTAGTGCGAATATAACGCGTTTTTCACCGGGCTTTACGCCACTTCGCGTAAAACGAGTCGTAGAACTCCGATAAATTGAACACTTAAAAATTCTCAGCTACTTACACGAAATTGATGAGTGGTAATGCTAAGGTCTCCACACAGAGTGACCCAGCTGAGGAGACAATCTCAGATTCCACTTTTCTCAAAACCAAATTCTCATTGTCAATTTAATATGCTAAAACTATTCCCTCCTTATGTGGATCTAAGCCGTGTTGTCGTAGTAGGCTTTGAACTCATACAAATTCACACACGCATACGGACAAAGCGACTTGCATATACCGGAGTTCCACAACCCATTTTACGTCCCGTGGCGTGACACTCCAAGTGAAATATGTTTTCACTAGTGTTTTTTCACATCACGGGGGGAAACTGCATTATGGTGTGATAATTTACCACCACATAATACAACATATTCTTCCAGTATACACGAACGTGAATATTGTGCGGAACTTCGCCTTGTATATGCAACGCCTATTCCAAATGAGTATTTTATTGCTCTGGAATTTTAACAAATCTTGCAGAAATATTGTTCTTTCCCTTCAGCTGTGCTCAGGAGTTTGCTCACGAATTCGGGTAGAAATATACAGAAACCAACATAAATTTCCCAAAAAATCCTCAAAATTTCATACGTAGTTGACCACCCCATACTGCTATGCAATATCAGCAGTATGATCGAAACTACGCTTCAACTACCGCCCAGGCCTACAGCTTCTCCACTAAATGAGTATTTTTTTCCTTCTGGAATTCTATCAAATCTTGGAAGAAATATTCTTCATTAAACTTAAACTCCCACACACTGCGGCAACTACGAGATAGTCAATACTGAACTCAAACACTATTATTCTTTTTAAGGGTATCTTACGAAACAGGCAATCGTAGGGGAAATACAATCTACAGCGTTTATATAGTGTTTGGGGTAATTTCTCAGTGAATAAACTGATACAGTCGAGTTTCAACGCGGTGATATTTAGCAGTAGTCGTGAAATGTGTTTTACATATCACTAGGGTGAAGAAACTCCAGTTGATGATGACGAGCCGATTCGATCAACATAATTTACGCATGCACGCATGCACGCACGCATGCACGCACGCATGCACAACCTTAGGACTATCATCACAGGACGTATCTCAGAGCCTCCATTTGAGCTTTATTGAGATTTTCCGGAAATTCCACGTCAAAACAGACGATTAAATTCCCGAATTTTCCGGCCTCCTTCGAAATCGGCATTCCACCGCCTTGGACGATTTCGCGACTGCCAGGTTTGATCATATGCTCCACTTTCAATCTGAGTTAAAACGTCCCCAAATCGGAATAATTCACCCATCTATAATCGTTACCTCCTACTTGAACCTGCTAGTGTTGGTACGTCAATTTCGAACCCAGTGAGGGCCTCTTTTAATGTTACCGTCTTCTTGAGAATTAAATCCGAACTAAAAAAAATGAAAAATCCAGAGAAAAATTTAACAAAAAAAATCACATTTTTTCCTATCATATAACGATACACCCTTAAAACGTCGAGGGTGAAAAAATCCGAATTCCCACCGTTTTTACCCATTTCTTTCAAACAACGCATGCTCCTTTTCCCGTATAACAAAGGCCACATCTTGGCATCGCCCGCTACACCCGAGCTCATCTCCCTCACCAGCAAACGTTATCTTCGTACCTGTTGGTTGGAATTTCATGCAATTTTAAAACTATTTTAATAACAAATGAAAATTGGAGTTTCACATGCTGTTTTACGTGAAGTGGTGTAATACTCCATGTGAAAAACACTTCCCGAAATTTTCTTACCAAGTCGAAAGCACTGACGGCTACCTGAGCCTAAATAATCGCCTCTACGGATTTTCCCAAAAATTTCAAGAAAATTTACCGAATTTTTTTATCATTTTTATCGAAATTTTTCTGATATGAAGTGGCGAATTACCCCGGAGAAAGCACCCCATTTGACGTAAAACACATACCACGTGTTTTACGCGATATTCACTGCTAACATGCGTTTTTCACCAAGTGAAATATGTGGTTTTCATATCACTAGGGTCGCTCCCCAGTTGAATTTCCTCAATTTTTTCACCTTTTTTCTAACGGACAAATGAAAAATAAAAAAAATAAAAAACATATTTTGGTATGAATGAAAATTTCCGAAAAATAATAAAAAAATATTTCTAACACCTTATCAAACTTTTCACTTTGCAAAAATACTATACCGGATCTTCAAACTTTTTTCAAAAACGAAGACGAAAAAAACAATTTTCGAACTTTTCTTATCCAGAAATTATCATCATGAAAAATGCGACACTTACGGTTAGCAGAAAATTCTGGTAAAATCACAAAATTTTCCGCATAAATTTTTGTCAGAAAAAAATCAGAAAATTAATTTCAGCATGTGAACTAACGCTGGTTGTTCTCATACACCCAAATGACGCCAACATTTTTCCCAGAAAATTCACAAAAATTTCCCGAAAAATTCTACGTTAGTCGAGTTTTTTCAGGGAAAAAATCCCATAAAAATCGTCGAGCAATAAGTCCAAAATTTAGCAAAAAATACTAAAATTTTCCGGAAAATTTAACGAAAATTCCTCCAAAATTTTCACTACCTGCTTTCCAGCCTGGTTTAACTTCAATTTCCAACGTAGTTTCCGAAGGCCTCTGAACTGTGCAACTTGACCGCTTAATCTGAGGAAAAAAATTCACGGAAATTTTCTGACGATTTTTCCGGGAAAAAATTTCGCGCTCTTCTGGAAAAATCTTTTTTATTCATCACTGCGCACAGGGAATAATAAAAAATAATATTTTTTGATTCCAATGTTGGAGTAGGAATATATGTAATCGCTCTCCTCACGAATTCGGGTAGAATTTTCCAGAAAATTTCCTCTCAGAATTTTTTCCCCAGAGATATCAGCACTTCCGTGTTGAGTATAAATAAGGAAACCAAAAAAATTTCCCAAAAATTTTCCCTATAGTTTATATACGAATTCGCGGAAAAGTGCACAAAAAACAATGAAAAAAAATTTCCCAGAATTTTCTCTCATCCTCTTACCTTAACCCGTTTGGTTTTCCCTTTATACAGTTCTTCAAGTGAGCACTTCAAATCGAATTCAGCAACACCTAAAATGATAATTTCCAAATCGATCAACTGATCGATTATTAACCTACGGTTTTTCTTCATTTCAGGACTACCAGCAGAGCGAGTTGAAGCGCAGCGGCCAAAACCGTTTCCTGAGATGAAAAAAAACAATAAAAAAAATATGTTCGCCCTCAGCTGGGCTTGGCGGTTTCCCCACGGAATGTACGAATTTACAGAAATCAATGAAAATTTACCAAAAATTTCCCTCAAAATTTTCATGTGCACATTTTCCCACACTGGCAAAACGAAACTTGATTATATTGCAGTTTCACGACTACCCCTTTTACGTAAAGTGGTGAAAAACGCGATATTCAACGCAGTGGTTGTGAAATATACCGTAACGTGAATATAAATATAACGCGTAAAACACGTGGTATGTAATGCTAATACTCCATGTTAACTATAGGAAGTATATGTTTCCGCGATCGCCGATAACAGAATTCTAATATCTTTTTCACGGGTGAAACTCCGTTATATCACCGGTCCCTTCTCGTAAACCAACTAAAATCATATATTAATACTAGTCCCTGGAGTTTCACAACTACCCGTTTTACGTGAAAAACGCGATATTTAGCAGCAGTAGTCGTGAAATATATTTTTCACTAGTGTTTTTCATATCACTACTAAGGTGAATAAACTCCACTGAATGCTTCTACATCGATCATGTATATTTTTTCTCAACAAAAATTAATACAGTTCCAAAAATCCACCAAAATATCCGCCGCCCTATAAGGGTGAATTCTAATATCATTCTCCAGGTTGGAATTTCGGGGCGCGCGCTTTTTACACGAGAATTTTTCATTTTCTTCTCATATCACCAGGGTCACGAAACTCAATTAATTCGAAAGTGCTTCGTTTTCCTATTAGATGTACTCATACAAAACTAACTTCAGCAACGAACATAACCGTCCAGCAGTTCATCGAGGCGACTATATATGTGACCATCAATAGATATCCATATAGTTATATCTTAAATTATAAATATAACATGGGTATAAAATAACATATGTTTTATATTTTTTCCCGAGCAGCACTACTTTTCACCATGCAGATAGCCAGTATAGGGGTATGGCCGCGAACTCAGCAGCTGATCCGAATATTTTTAATATATATTATATATAAATCTCATTAATCACCTACTAATTTATTTTAGAACTCATCTCATCCATTGCCGAGTTTGCTTCCAAAACGCCACAGGAATTTTTACACAATTTCGGGAAAAAAGTGTACAAAAATTTTTTCATGATTTTATATTCTCACAAGCAAACGTAGTTGACCATATGCATATTCCCTACACTGCTGTTGGAACAATATTCTCTTTCCTCAGCTGAGCTCAGGATTTTTATGGATTCCAATACAAGTTTACAAAAATCAACAAAAAATTTCCGAAATTTTCTCATATTTTTCCCCTAGTACCTCCAAAAAAAGGGCTGTTTTCCATACCACCATTCATGAACATTCCATCACCAAACATTTGCGCGAAAATGTCGTTGGGGTCTCGAGAAAATCGATAATGGCAACCTCCATCGCTTCCCCCAAACCTAATGAAAAAAATCCCACCAGAAATTTTTTTCCGTAAATTTTTTGAGTTTTTATATGTCGATGATATTTTTTTCGTTTCTTAACAATCTTTAGTATGCATATAAACGTCTTCAAAAAAGTGGGTGAAAATTTCCGGACGAAAAAAAATTTCCGGAAATCTTTTCGGCTCTTATACAACGAAGATATTCAGTTTCTCAACGTTCTTCGATATGCCTATAAACGTTCCGAAAAGTGGGTGAAAAATTCCCGGACGATTACATGCCACCCGGTCCAAATCCACCCCCGGGTCCGCCATCCTTCAACCCTTCCTCGCCGAATTGATCATATCTGACAACATAAAAATTACCAGGAAAAATCCACAAAAAATTTCCTAAAATTTTCTGGAAAAATATACGCGGAAAAGTTTGCGTTTTTTCACCATCTTCGATAAAACTCTAAAATTTCCCCCCAAAAAAATGCAGCTTGCTTCGGACAATACAAATCCCAAAAATGGTAAAAACAAGAACTGCTTCGCTCCGCCTATTTTCCCATACTACATTTGTTTCTTATTTGAGTCACTCAATACGTCAAAGGCTTCTGCTATCTGAGCATCGAAAAATTCGGAAAATTTTCAGGAAAAAGGCGGAAAATTTCCACATAATATGACACTTTCAATCCAATAGAGTTTCACATGCCGTTTTACGTAGAGTGGTGTAATACTCCATGTGAAAAACACTTCCCGAAATTTTCTTACCATTTTTATCGAAATTTTTCTGATATGAAGCGGCGAATTACCCCGGAGAAAGCACCCCATTTCCCGTAAAACACATACCACGTGTTTTACGCGTTATTCACTACTCACAAGCGTTTTTCACCAAGTGAAATATCTGTTTCTCATATCACTAGGGTAGCGAAGCTCCAAATATTATACAATAATTTTCATCTGTTGGAGTTTCAGTTCAGAGGTCTAACGAGGACCGTAGTTTCTTTTCTGAAAATTGCCTATATATTTCGGAATTTTCCCGGGAAAAAATTCCAAAAATTTCCAAAAATTTCATTATTACATCTCTAAATTTACGTTCTGCTATTTCACGATTTTCAGGATTTTTATCGGGATGCCACCGAAGTGCCTGTTTCCGGTATCTGGCAAAAAAATCGGAAAAAAATTTACCGCGCGCCACAAAATTATTACGCTTTTTTTATTTCCTGAGCTCCAGCACTCCTGTCCACACCGAGAATTCTATAATAGTCTTTGCCCATCTCGGTGAGGGAAAAATAGAAAAGAAAGAGAAATGGCTGAGAATGGACATAATCCGTATCTTACACGCTTGAACCTAAGATACTCTATACCGGACATATTCCGTATCTTACACGCTTGAACCTAAGATACTCTATACCGGACATATTCCGTATCTTACACGCTTGAACCTAAGATACTCTATACCGGACATAATCCGTATCTTACACGCTTGAACCTAAGATACTCTATACCGGACATAATCCGTATCTTACACGCTTGAACCTAAGATACTCTATACCGGACATAATCCGTATCTTACACGCTTGAACCTAAGATACCTCGATAACACAACACTCAACATCTTTTCGCTAACGGGGAGAATACTAAACTAGAATTACCATGTGAATTCATATTCTCACGAGGAGCACGTATGACCCTCTTGAAGATACTATGTGATACAGTGTTGGAGACTCCAACTTGGAGTAGGAATATATGTAATCGCTTTCCTCAGCTGCTGAGCTCAGGAGTTGCCTATACAGTGTTGGAGTAGGAATATATGTAATCGCTTTCCTCAGCTGCTGAGCTCAGGAGTTTCCTATACACTGTTGGAGTAGGAATATATGTAATCGCTTTCCTCAGCTGCTGAGCTCAGGAGTTTCCTATACAGTGTTGGTGTAGGAATATATGTAATCGCTTTCCTCAGCTGCTGAGCTCAGGAGTTTCCTATACAGTGTTGGTGTAGGAATATATGTAATCGCTTTCCTCAGCTGCTGAGCTCAGGAGTAGATATACGAACTCGGGTAAAAGTGTACAGAAACCAACAGTAATTTTCCCGAAATTTTCGCATAATTCTCAAATTGTCATAACCAATGCCCCATTTAGTTTTTGAGAAGTAACATTCCCTAGGGTTTGATAACAATGATAAAATTGTTCCTTACATGATAACATTTAAAATTTTTCGAAAATGTATTCCCAGCCATTTGGAAAATTTTAAGTGCGAGTTCCACCCGGGAATATTATCAATTCCTAGTCCTCAACATGTAGTAGTCACCTCAGTAGTCACCAACACATGTAGTTGATGACCATTGCTTGTGAATATACAAACCACATGATGAACAGAAACCACACATGCTGCTGACAACAGTCGAACTTCAAGTGAATTTTCATATAAACCAACTACTGTAACTGTGGCAGCTTCTCCTCGCCATCTCTCACTGTAGAGATCCGTATATATACTCGTTTGCCTAAAAGTGAAACCGTTGCAGTGTAGTACAACATTAAAATGAGAAATTGTTCGAAAATGTCTCACTCATGTGAAAAATTCAAAATGAATTTCACCCGGGAACATTATAGGTTCCTTGGTGTTCCTGAGCTTCAGAGGTAGATAACACAAGTAGAATCAGCTTATAGAGAACTTAACTAGTAGAAATTATCAAGCGAAGGCGGTAGAATAGCTAGGCTAGACGCCACTATCACATAATTGTGTCGGCGGCGGAGCGAAGCGGAGGGATGAGTAATACTCATTGAGTATCATCACACTCCACTGCGACATCTCACACCCATCATTTGAGAACCATCTCTGACCTCACATTCCAGAGCATCGTCAGGGTATAAGACCACAGTTATTGCACCTCTGAGAACGGCACCTTTGGCACCGAAAGTTACTCAACTCCGACCGAGAGTACAACGTTGTCTTACCAGAAATTTTACATTCACCAAGATAGATGTGACCGGTGAATGCATTCATGCGGTTCTGCATTATTATTACAGACCTATCTCCTTTAGTCTTTAATTCCTGGACCCCAAAAATGGTGCTTCTACAGCAAAGAATGCCGGAAACCAGAATACGCCAGTATAAGGTAAGTCTATCTCATTTAGTAGAGAGTCAATATCCTTGGTGTATTCATTTATGCCAGACTTCATCGTCCAACGTAATAAAGAGCATGATCCTTTTTCCCATTGGTAACTTGTCATCAGGTTTAAATGGTATTTGATAGAAGTAAGCAGATGTCCCTATTATTAACCTACACAGATAACCTCTAGCTTCAGGATCGTCCTCCTCAATCATACTGTTGTGATTTAGATATGATTCATGATCAGTAGGTAAAGGAACTGTTCTAGTATTCCTTATCTCCTCCATGACAACTTCTGCTGCTAGAGCATTCTCAGCCTCTTGTTCATCAATAATGTCCACCTCCTCCACATGACCCTGGTTATCTTGGTAAAAGGTATAACTTGAGCCAAGATGGCTACTAAGGTAAGTGAATGAGCAGTACCTTACCAGGTACTGTGGTAAGGAGGACACTCGAGGGTGACACTATTTTTTCAAGCTTTGATGAAAATAACTTACTAATCCATTTCATGGAAGAAAATCACTTCGCTCCGCTCATTGAGTTTGCGTAAGAACGAAGCTTCTCAGTCTTCACAAGAAGCTTTGCGTTGCGTTTCGGCACTTGTTGAGTGCTCAGTCTACCACAACGACTTTCCTCTAAGTCTTAGAGTCTAAGAAGGAACACTTACAAAAGACACTTACCAAAATAAGTCCACATAGAATCTCCTTCCCTTTGAAGACCCATGATGCCGCTCTACTTCATCGTTTGTGATGATGTTAATTCAGGAATTCAGTCATACGGGAAGGGATGAGAAATAACTCAGTATTGTCACTGAAGTGAGAATATCTTGCCATTATTAAAGTAGCACGTATAACTATGTGACGCAAGAGTCAGGTTTTCATATAAGGATACGATTAACTCACCTTGTGTATGAATACTAGTGGGATGGAGCCAACCAACCAAACACAATATCACTTTCATCTACTCCTAAACCGTCAAGCACAAGAGTTTAGTATTAATATACGTGTGTAAAAGCAACTCATCTATATTGTCAATGGGGTTTCACCCGTGATATGAAAAACGTACTCCACACACTAAATCGCGTTTTCACAGAGTATTACGCCACTTCGCGTAAAACGGGTGAAACTCTTACCCCTTTATGAAAAGATATTATGTTCTTCACCGTCTTAAGGTAAGTAAGCAGCTAGTGAAAGAGACCCCATGTGACGCAATAGTGAAGTTGACGTATAAGGAAGAAAACGCCCACCAAATTGTAACAGTCCATCTGATGTCCCTTGTTCTTGATATTGTTGTGTTCCTTGTTCACACGGCGCAACACCAGGCATGGACGGAAAAGCACCAAAATGATAATGATACTACCATAACACTTTCCTCAAAGACTCAAATGAAAGAACAGAACGACTACTGGTTCGCTTAGCAAACTTCGCTATGCACTTGCGTGCTCATCACTTCTGCGCTCGCCGTTTGGCGACAAAATGACCTCCTCCACGAGGGGAAGCAACAACCGATGAACCTTTTGCATGCAAATTGCACGAACAGCGCTTGAAGTTTTTTCTGGGCGCGTCACCATTTTCTTGCGTCATCTCTCCTCCACTCTTGTCTATGATATAAACCCTTATGATGTCACTATGGTTCGGTGGTTCGGGACTCTCACACCCTTAGAGTGAACTTAGGATAATGCGTACTTGTTGATGATAAGTTTCAAGAATGCATTGGAGTTTCTTCAGCCTATTGATATGAAAAACACTAGTGGAAAACATATTTCACGACTAGTACAGGCCGCCGCGAATATCGCGTTTTTCACCGAGTTTTACGCCACTTCACGTAAAACGGGTAGTCGTGAAACTCCATTATTTAAAACTCACAAATAGTATGACATTGACTACCCATTTCGCTCACGTGGTGGGTTCTTAAAATCACAACAATACTTTTTTAAACTCAAATCTTGACTAAAATTGAATCACTCTCTTCTCTCAGCCATAAACTCTTTAATGCAATCATTGACAGTAAAACTAACAGCAACCGCCAAAGGGCCCTTTATCCAATTCATCGTCACTCCTTTATACAGCCCATTTCGGATCCCCTCCGTTCGAGCAACATGAATCATCGACTGAAGAACTCCGAGGCCACCAAAGACGTCACTTCCGTGAACTTGCATTCGCCTTCGGACAACTTCCAGAGGATAAGTAGAAGTTTGCGCAACTAAACCGGCGATAGCGCCACAAGCTAGTTTATCTATCGTAGACCAATGATGCTTTTTCTCAGTGATATAACTCTTTAGTGTTTCGAAGCACATGAAGGAAGTACCCGCATAAGGGAGAATACCAATCAGGGATGCGCCGACGCCAGAGTAGAAGCCTCGCAATCCCTGAGTATCTATGGAAAAATCTCTACACTACTATAATCAGCAATGAATGTCCATGTAAGGATTTCAGGAGGTCGATCGCGCAAGTGTGAAATTTGGTGATTGTTGATAAATATTCTTGTAGCATTTCCTAACATGATAATTGGAAGCGATAATAGTCTTCATGAATCCACAAAGCCGAGGAATTTAAGTGGAAAAAGCACAGTTTGAAACAATATAAAAATACTTCGCTTAACGAAATTAACCAATGGAAAAGTCGTTTTAGGAGGAAGTTGATAAAATGAGAGCTCCACCTTCCATTGAAGAATTTTAAATAGTCACGACATTCAATTCGGGTAAACTCACGTAGTATTTTCCTGAAGGCTCGTGAATACGTCGAATATTCACCATTAACATCCACGGCCAAACGTGATCGCAGAACCTGACCCGGAAATTAGCTCGAAAATTACCCGTTATGGAGGGACGCCTACATCAGCAGGATAACTAACACAAATCGCAGCAGCCCCCGAGATGCTACCGCTGAAAAAACGAATCAGCATCGCTGGGACATGCTGAGTTATATATGGAGTGTCTGAGGAAGTAGAAAACTCAATATCGGACCACGTGACTGCAAATGAGGTATCAATGCAGTCTCATATACACTATTGGGAGAATGTCATTGACTATACTCGTAGCTCTAATGGGTCCGACTATATCGTTCAGAGATCTGTTCCGACAAGAGATGTCACAATCTCAAGAAGGGATAAATAACGTCGAAATTGGCGTTCTTGTCGACGAGATCGATTTCTTCGATCATGAAATACTTCTCAATATCCGCGATATTGCTGTCTATGACCTTTGGCATAGTTGCCCTATCCGACAAAGGAGTATCTTAATTGTATAGTTCTCTGGCATAGTGGCCCTATTCGGCAAAAAGGTATCTTAATAGTATAGTCATCTGGCAAATTGCCCTATTCAACAATTAGATATCTTAATGGTATAGTCCTCTGGCATAGTGGCCCCATTCCCCCCTATACCTTGCAGTTTCCGATAAAGCCTATCGAATACAGTAAAGTTAGTTGCTAAGTAGGGCATAATACGGACGAGGGTTGCCATGTGACCCTATTCGGCAATTAGATATCTTAATGGTATAGTCCTCTGGCATAGTGGCCCCATTCCCCCCTATACCTTGCAGTTTCCGATAAAGCCTATCGAATACAGTAAAGTTAGTTGCTGAGTAGGGCATAATACGGACGAGGGTTGCCATGTGACCCTATTCGGCAATTAGATATCTTAATGGTATAGTCCTCTGGCATAGTGGCCCCATTCCCCCCTATACCTTGCAGTTTCCGATAAAGCCTATCGAATACAGTAAAGTTAGTTGCTGAGTAGGGCATAATACGGACGAGGGTTGCCATGTGACCCTATTCGGCAATTAGATATCTTAATGGTATAGTCCTCTGGCATAGTGGCCCCATTCCCCCCTATACCTTGCAGTTTCCGATAAAGCCTATCGAATACAGTGAAGTTAGTTGCTGAATAGGGCATAATACGGACGAGGGTTGCCATGTGACCCTATTCGGCAATTAGATATCTTAATGGTATAGTCCTCTGGCATAGTGGCCCCATTCCCCCCTATACCTTGCAGTTTCCGATAAAGCCTATCGAATACAGTAAAGTTAGTTGCTGAATAGGGCATAATACGGACGAGGGTTGCCATGTGACCCTATTCGGCAATTAGATATCTTAATGGTATAGTCCTCTGGCATAGTGGCCCCATTCCCCCCTATACCTTGCAGTTTCCGATAAAGCCTATCGAATACAGTAAAGTTAGTTGCTGAGTAGGGCATAATACGGACGAGGGTTGCCATGTGACCCTATTCGGCAATTAGATATCTTAATGGTATAGTCCTCTGGCATAGTGGCCCCATTCCCCCCTATACCTTGCAGTTTCCGATAAAGCCTATCGAATACAGTAAAGTTAGTTGCTGAATAGGGCATAATACGGACGAGGGTTGCCATGTGACCCTTCCATAAACCTACAACACACACAACACA